TGCATCTAAACCTTACAGAGTTAGTGGGTAATCACTCTATTGTGATTTCCCCCATGTACATTAAATAAATTTATATTTTTCTCCTGTTAAATCTGTTGTCAATTAATTCTAGTAAACTTTCAACGAGCAAAGGAGTTTTCCCTTCATCCCTACAAAAGACAAAGACAAAACTTCTCCTTTATTCTATGCGATAAAGACAATTTGCCTCCAAAATTACACATTTGTTCTCATCAAATATTTACCAAGAAGGCTGGGGTTGTGGCTCAGTGGTAGAGCACTTGCCTCGCATGTGTGAGGCACTGGGTTCAATCTTCAGCACCACATAAAAACCAAATAAAGGTATTAAAAAAATATTTACCAAGAAAAGGTTTTAATGACTGACCTTATGTACAAATACTAAAGATTAAAAACCTAAACACCATAGATCCTGAAAATCAAAATCTATTCCTTCATTATGATACACAGTGCATTTTCCTGGCAATATGGAACAGCTTTAACTTAACAAATGTTATCAGATAGGGGCTGGGAATATAGCTCAGTTGGCAGAGTGCTTGCCTCGCATGCACAAGGCCCTGGATTCAATTCCCAGCACCACACACACAAAAAAAGTTATCAGATAAAAATACCCACCTAAACAAAATGTTACAAAACATTACCCAAAGAAGCAACAGTGCAAAAAGACAATGAAATGCTCTGCCTATAATCTTTATCCTATAAGCCTACCACAAGAAAATAAATTAGAGTTCCTCTATATAAATGTTATTAATTAATATGTGTAAACGCACAGTCAACTTCACTACAATACAAGATGTTGTTTTGCCAAATAATAAGCAACATTATAAAATATTGAGACCACAAGTGAAGTGCCAAGTATGGTTTGCCTGCTCTCAAAAGCAATTGATGTTTTACCATAATAACAAAAATACACTTGAGGTTATCCTAACACCTGTTTTCAACAATATCTAAAACATTATTTTCCTATTTCTGCCCTTATTCTACTTTCACTAAAACTGATCAGAAAGAACCCTATTAACAATGGTAAACCAAAAGTTAAGAGAAGATTGGGAACCACTATTCATGACTGCCCTTAGCTTTTCACTGGTATTGATTCATACCTTTTTGAGAAGTTTGTTTGCCACCACTTCTTGAAGCTCAACCCACAAACAAGAGCTCTCAAGAATGTTTCGAATTCTGCTACAGTATAACAAAACAACCGCACACTACCATATATAATGAAATACTGACATTAATAAAACTAGGAATGCTATAAAAACCCAAATAAAAACTTTACTATCAGGCTGGGGATGTAGCTCAACGTACAGTATACTTGCCTAGTAGTATGCCTGAAGCTCTAGGTTCAATCTCTGGCACCACACACATAAAAAAAAAAAAAAACAACCAAAAAACTTTACTATCAACTTAAATAAGGATAAGCACCCTATGGTATCACTGTATACCTTAAAAGCAAGGGAAAAGAAAAGTGTTTTAAGACATCAAACTAAGAGTAATTGGTAGCTAGAAAATCAGGACAAAAATCTCTTCCTTCATATTAGTATGAGTGAAAATTTAAAAAGTGAAGTATTAATAAACTATTATGAAGAATGGGTAACAATCTGGTTTTCAGCTAAGATTTAATTAATGGTCTCCTGCTTTCAGACAGTGCTTCTTCTATTATACTATAGTACCACCAAGTGGCAGAAAGACATATTACATTTCTAACTGCTAATTGAATATTTTTCATCACTCAAAAATGGCAACTGTTATGGACTGAACTGCATCCTATCCACCCTCCCCCTGCCATCACTAAAAAAGAATTCACAGGTTGAATGTCTAACTCCCATTATGACTATAGTTAGAAGAACATAAAGGAGTCATAAAGGTTAAATAAGACACATACCAGTGTGATCCTAATTTGATAGGGCTGGTACCTTTATTAGTGGAAGATACACTAGAAGCATGTAAGCACACGACTGGGGAAACACCATGTGAACACACAGCTAAAAAGTTACTGTCCACAAGCCAGAAGAGAGCCCCCACCAGGAACCCAATCAATTGGCACCTTGATCTTGGATTCCCAGTCTCCACAACTGTTGAAAAACAAATTTCTATGGCTTAAAACACCCAACCTTTGATATTATGATTGCTCAAACAACTAAAGCACTCCACCTTAATTCCCTAAAACTTTCTCTTTATATGAAAAATGTGACAATTTAAAAATCAGGGATGAAAGCAAGACCCAAAAAACTATAGATATTAAAGTGAAATATTTTCTGCCAAGTTCCTTTACAAGAGGATATGACTGAAATGGAGCAAACTGTGTTACGTGCATCTATGAATATGTCAAAATGAACCCCACTAGTATGTATAACTATAATGTTTTTTATTAAACATTTTAAAAGAGGGAAAAAAAAAGACACAGGGAAACATTTTTTTCCCTTGAAATTAAGGGACTCTGGCTCCTCAGAATGTCCGTGCTTCCCTCACAGAAAAACAAAATTCTCCAATGGGAAAAAACAAATTCATGTTCACCCAAACAAACAGGTAAATGTCAAAAAATATATAGAGATAGATATTTTTAAAATAATTCCTTCTATTTTCATAAATATTTACCCATTTATAAATTACCCTGAGTAGCAATTATATTACAGTCACCAAGTATATGGACTCTAAAGCCATTATCAAGCTTTATATTCCTGTTGTGCTGCTTACTATCAGACCTTAGGCTTGTTACTTACCTGCTTTGTTTCTCAATTCCCACATCTCTAAAATGGAAATAACAGTCTCCTGTAACACAGGTTTAGTATCTCCTTTCTGAACTGCTTGCAACCAAAAGTGTTTCAGATTTTGGAGTTTTCTGGATTAAGAACACTCAACTTCTTGTTATCTTCCCTCCCAGAAGACTCGCCTTAGGTCCTATCATCCACACTCTATTGTCCCAATTCTCATGCCTTAAGAATAAAGTTTATTTTCTTACAAACTCTGATGAGTTATAATTATTACTAAAATTATTACTATATGGACAGAGAAACCTTTTATCTTAGCAACCCAGAGCAGAAAATTAAGATAAACCAAAGAGAAAACTGAATGCTTCAATTGACAAGTTAACTGCTCTTCTGTCTTTCCTTAAATATCCTATTTCTACATTGTTCTGATTCTTTACAATATGGTATACAAAACTTGTTGGGAGAAGGGTGCTAGCAAGGATGCATTAAATGCCTTGGGTATGGGGCAGTTCAGTTTTGCAAGCTGAGATAATTGATTTTCCCCATGTTCATCCAAGAAGATTCAATTACAGAAATTGCACCCAGTTGAACCTAAATTTCTGTCAATTCCAATTAATGGAATGTCCTTTCCAGAACTTGATGACTTCCTTGCTGGGTTAAGAGTAGTCTAACTATATGTACTTGACTGCAGATCAATTCCTCTAAGTAGTATATCACGGTACTTATTTTGTCCTTTCTTATGAGTAAGAGAACTACTAAGTTGGAGGACATAAAGAAACTGCTCCATTGTACCCCCATCACCTACAGAAAGCAAAGGAAAAGCTCTCAGGGGATGTGTTAACTTCCCACCTTCTCCCCAACAAGTTTCGGTTTTACAGGTTGTACATAAACCTTCACTTACCTGAATACAACCACTCTATCTATAAGCTGTAGAAATACTAACTTGCTTCAGACTGAATTTAAAATACACAGTATTTCTAATCATTCTTTTAATCCTGCTCCAAAGTAAATCCCACTTAACAGTTTTTCTGTGGTAAATTAACCACTAGTAGTTTATAAGAATTTGAACTTTTATTCCTAACAGTTATATGAAAATTTAAACTAGGCAATATACACTACTACAAAACATATAAGGCAATGGCTTCTAATAAAACATGCCCCCAAATCCATATTACCATTTAAAAAAAAAAAAAATCTCGAAATCATTATCACTTTAGATTTTTTTCCTCAAGAATAATACTTCTAGTTATGAAAAACCCATGAGAGTGACTCTCCTTAATAAATTCATTTAGATGTGGCTAATAAATTCATTTGGATGTGGCACAGTGGTTGAGTGCCCCTGAGTTCAATTCCCAGTGCCAAATAAATAAATAAATAGATTCATTTTACAGAGGTTAAATGACTTCCCCTAAGACTCCATAGTCTATTAAGTAACAAAGCCTATACCGAAATAAAAGTCTTTCTGCTCCTCAGCCAGTCTTCCTTCAATTATATCATATTTCCTTCAGGTTAACTTCTCAAATCTCAAGGATAAAGTATACTGTGATAAAGAATAAAAAACTGGGGATAGGGCTGTAGCTCAGTGGTGAACACTTGCCTAGCATGTGTGAGGCATTGAGTTTGATTCTCAGCACCACATATAAATAAATAAAATAAAGGTCCATGAACAACTAAAAATAAATAAATAAATAACTGGGTAGTACACAGTACTCAAGGTATTATTAATTAATGCCAATGAATGATAATGACATTTGTTGATATTAAAGTTCAGAGACTACTATGGACTACAGCTAACTGGTAAAATAGAATTTTAAGTAAGAACAAATTTGAGATATCCATTCTAAAAAAAGCTAGCTGGTGACTTAAAAAAAAAAAAAAAAAAGGATAATTTGCAACAGGTTTTTGAGCAACAAATACAATTTCTTAGAAAACCCTGAATTGCACACTTGTCTAAAAGTTAAAATTATAAAACAAGACAAGGAATATAATAACCAAAAAGTTTTACCAGTTGCCAATCCAATTGTTAAGTCAAAGATGGAAAATATATCATCATAAAGAAAGAAGCAAAAGAGATTAGTTTAAAAATAAACAATGAAAGAAAATGGAAACACATAATAACAGAGAGATGCAGACAAAACTGCTGGTTATATCAAAAGTTAACTCATGTACTCAAGTTTTGGAAAGAGTATTAAGACTGTCCAAGAGTATCTCTAACAAAGCTTAAAAACATTTGGAAACTAAGAGCCAAATTTACTGTTTCAAACTTCTATAACTTACCTCTCTAGCAGCACAATCATGAGGAGCTTCTTCTTTATTTACTTTTCCTTTTGGAAATCCCCAGCCTGATTTTGCTAAGTACCCCTGAACCAGTAGTACCTACAATACAAGCAGAAATAAAAATGAAACTTACTCCCCCTTTCCTATGCTCTTTTCTAAAATCAAAGGTGATTTTCTATTAGCACCAATAATTTCATATAGCGTTTCATTTGGTATAGGTATCTTCCGTGAGTCTAAATATACTACTATTAATGCAAAGGAAAGAATTGTATTTAAAAATATTTTTTTCAAAAATGAAATAACAATGTTCACTAAGCTATAACTGCAATAAGTATAAAATCTTAAGATACAGAATGTAGATAAAACATGGAAAATTTGGCCTTTCAAGTACTAAACATCTAAGATTCATTCATTCTTAATTCAGAATACTATATAACAAATGTTAATAGGCTAAAAACTGACAGTTGATGACCATTTCACTAAAAAAATCTTATTTTTATTACACTCACATTTTCAAGTGTCTCATCAAGAATAATTGCACCATATGTTGGTACTCCCATTTTATATTCCTTCCATTCATCCAAAATTTTTTCCACATCTTCACCTTGAGGCAGCAAAAATGGACAATGATTGAAGAGTATAAATAAGTGTTAAGGAAGCTACTTCCTCCCTTAATACAGCTTGAGAAATTATTTACAGAAAGAGACCTATTTAAGTCAATTGTGTATTTTATATGAAATTACTCAAACCTTCACTTTAACCTTTTTGCTTTTTCCACATTTGTTTTCTCTTGAACAAATCACTGTTAATTTCTCCATTTAGCCTAGAAACAAATCAAGTAAATTTTGAATACTTAAGAGTCCCAGATCCCTGAATTAACACAAATGAACTTGGAATCCACATCTCAAATATTTATTACATCAGAGTCAACAGACACTGAAACTGACAGCAAGCAGAAGCACAAGTACATTGCTAAAAGGAAGCAAGTACATGCATATTGCTAAAAGGAAGAAAGAGGAGGAAAAAATAAAGCAGTCAATTCTAAAAAGTAGAACTAGGATGTACACACTATTTTCTACTTTTCTATTTCTTAAACATATCTATGTATTGATTTTATAATGAAAAATCATTTTAAAGATTTAGATTTACTAAGTATTATAGAGGAAGGTAAATCTGGATATTAAGGAATGTATAGCAAGTTTCAAAAGGAACTGTGTATTAAGCTATCCTAAAATTGGACAATGTAAAGTACTAGGGGGAAAAAAGATCCAAAACCCCAAACCATGAAATGGTATGCTCAGCCTTCTGATATTCTGTGCCTTCAAAAGCCTCATCACTGTGATCCTCTTAATTACAAAAAGTGTGGTGAAAATTATAACTTATATTTAAGGATTCCCAAACCCTTTGTAAAAACTTGTTTTCTCTGTATTTTCAATTTAATGTTAATATAAAGACATAATATGAGCATATTTTCAATTATTCAGAAGGCCACATATATGAAATACTAGCACTTAATTTCAGAGACCATACTTGTACTAGTACTACTTAAACTTACTGTGGGTTACTAAAAACAGAAGAAACTTAATATATATGCATTAGGATATAGAGAAAAGCCCAAATTGCACACTTGCATTAGGGTCAAAAGATATTTCAACATAACACAGGAATTTTTGTAACAGAATAAGAAAAGGTAGTAGAATTGGTAGTATAAGAAATGTCAAACTCAAAAGAACCTTTAAGTAAGCATGTTAACATTAAACGAGATGTTTGGGCAAACACATAACATTAAATTCATTTAATTAAATTGGAATTTTATGAGTCCTACAACTTTGTATTGTAAAATATGTCCTGGCTTTATAGCTCTAACAAGAACCAAAAAGGCCTTTGGCAAATCCCAAAGTCAACTATCTATGATAACACCAAAATGAAAAGATGGGCACAAAGCTAATCTCAATAAAATTATTCCCTTCTCTTGGGGAGGAAAAAAAAAAGATGAAAATTTGGATATAACATTAACCATCCCACAACACCTATGGTTCCAGAGGGGCTTTCTAAGATTCTGAAAGGTATTTCCCAATAAAGGTCCTACTTTACATGTTTTAGTAAAAGTCCTTATTTATGTATTACAAAGTCATCACAGATTTTTTAAAAATCTAACCAAAGCATAAATTTTGAATGATATTTTTTCCATTTTAAACTTAACCATAGAGAAACTAATGTAAAAAGACCCTAATAATAGATAACTTGCAGTGGTTATCTATAATCAGGATACATATCTAGTTTTGTTGTTTTCTCTTCCTTTTCTCTATGCTGTTACTAGTACTTTTAAGGTACATCTATCTTCCCACAAGATGAAACGTCCATCATAAAAATTATCTAACTTTTCTATCCATTAAATTTATTTAAAAAGAAAAACAAACTGGATGTAGTTGTACAAGCCTAGAGTCCCAGCTGTTGCGAAGGCTGAGAAGGATCATTTGAGAGCAGGAATCTGGAAACGGCAAGGTCCTGACTCAAATTAAAAAAAAAAAAAGAAAGAAAGAAAAAAGGATAAAAATATTAAATGAGAAATTAACCAACTAAGTTTGGAAACTATGTGCTTCATTTTTCAATTTTTCCCTATTCCAACACCCTCACAAAAAAACAAATTGACTGAACCAACTGACTACTATTCAAAATACATTTGCAAATTACAGTTAAAAAGTATTTGCTAAAGATAGAGAACAGATCAGCAGCTGCCAGGATGTGAATGAATGGCATGGGGAGGGAAGAAGGGAATAAATTGGCTTTTTCCCCCCATAGGGTGATAAAAATGCTCTGGAATTAGATAACAATGATCATTCCACATATCTATGACATACTAAGAACAACTAACTGTACACTTTTAAAAAAGCAAATTCTGTTATGCGAATGATATAATTTTTAAAAAGTCAAAAGCTAAAACAGAATGTTAATAACACCAACACTGAGAGACCCTTATCTAAAGTAATCCAGTCCCTTAGTATCAGCCATTTCTAATCACATCACTCTTCCACCATCTTTGTAGTACTTATAAAAACACCTTATTTATGGGTTTACTTGCTTATGGTCTAAATGTCCCTTCCACCCTTAACTAAACACAACCTTCATGAAATCAGGAAGAAAAAAAGAAAGAAAATTATCTGTTAAGTAGTTGCCCAAGTCCATAATGAACAAGTAATAAAAAGACATCAATCTCCCCATAAATCTTTTACCCTCCTATTTAAAAAATAGTACTTCAATTCAACCATGATAGCAGAAATTTGTATCATTTTTATTTGATAATATATTTAATTTGAAAAAGCTTAGAACATGCCATAATTGATAACTATCATTTCTAATTTTTTATTAAAATTCTTGACAATTGACTTCCTTAAATCACAAACCAAATTATTTTGAGTCTTACATCTTCATTACTGGACTACCCAGTATTTTGAAGAAAAGGACAGAGGGAAGTTAGACTGATGAAAGAATTCAAGCATCTTAAATATCCACACCACTGAGTGCTTACTGAAGAAAAGCCATAAGACTATGACCAATCTACAGAAGAGCAAACAGAGGTACAGAAGAGTCCCAAAATTTGCCCAAATATACACAGCTGGTTAATAGGAAAGACAGGATACTAACAAAGGGAACAGAACTCATGATTATTAACTTGTATGGCACATAGTAAATATTCAGTAATTATTTAAGAAATTTCTAAATAAATTGGAAAAGTCATCTCTTTAAAGATTACCTAGTTAAATGATACAGTTAGAATCAAGTAAAAACAGATCAATTATAAAAATAGGCTGTTTACAAAAAAGCCAAAATTTATTTCCAATCAATGTACATTAAGGAGTCCTAATGTAGAAATAAGACTACTAAATTATGTCATACACACACACAAAAAAACTTTTTTTGGCAACCCAGGGCCTCAATGATGCTAGGCAAACCTTCTACCATACAGCTACATCCCTAGTCCTTACTATGTATATTTGACAATATTTACAAGTCAAGGATATGTTATCCAGTAGGTTAAAAGTCTCAAAGACAAGCAAAAGGAAATTTGTGCTGAAATATTTTATCAACAAGAATGAAAGACAGTCATGACATTAATGAAAAGGATATCAGCTTTTGCAAAGTCTCTTATCCCACACTGAGGTAATCCTGGTGTGTTCTGCATGTAGAAATCCAAGTAAAACCAATGGGCAAGTTCAATCTGAAAACACACTCGGATTGCATTGTCTCTTTCCTCGCTGGGAATATGCAAAATAAATCGGCTGTCAAAAACAAAACACAAAAAAAATTACATTTACAAACTATAACAATTTATTTTAAACTACTTAATTGCTTCACCCCTGACCTACCAACTTAGAAAAGAGACCAAGAGCAGTCCTGTTCAAGGAAGCAAACCATATCTGGGAGAAATTACCATGGGGAAGATAAGTCTTAAAAAGGGAGACAAAGAGGAAGGAGATATCATAGGTAACTCACAAATTTAAGAGTTTATATATCTTCTGTTTACAAGATAGAAATCAACTTAAGAGCTATCGACAAATTAAAGTGAGCAAAGAAACAACTTTTACGATTTCTTCCCATATCTATGTAACATTTCCAAGAATATATGCAAATATATTCATATAATTCACTAAAAAGTATGTTTCATTATCTGTTTAATCTTCGCATGAAAACTAAAGGTCTTTTAAGAACCTTCCTTTCCAATTACAAAAGCTGTTTTGATTATAAAATGGTAAGGCCAATCTCCATTGATTTTTCTGTCTTTCCTGTGCCTGGCTGTTCCCAGATATGGGCAGTTCTATGAGGTATATACAGCATGGTTTTCTAGCCTAAAACCAAACAGGGGAGCCAGGGAGCCCCAGGGAAAGCAAAAGTACTAGGGAGATAGCACTAGAGAGATAGCAGAGGGACAACAGCTCTAGAAAATGACCACTTAAAATTATTTATGAACTCTAGGGTTCAACCCTGATCTGTGCATGCTCAGATTAGAATATAAATAGTCCATTATAATTGTGGAAAACTGAACTATAAAAACAGACCACTGTTGGGCTGGGGATGTGGCTCAGGCAGTGGCGCACTCGCCTGGCATGTGTGCGGCCTGGGTTCGATCCTCAGCACCACATACAAACAAAGATGCTGTGTCCGCCGAAAAAACTGAAAAATAAATATTAAAAAATTCTCTCTCTCTCTCTCTCCCTCCCTCTCTCCCTCCCTCTTTCAAAAAAAAAAGCAATGTGTCTATTTTCTTAGTTTGGGACATTTTCTATTGATTTCAATTGTAGAAAACGAAGGATTAACTATTCTCACACTTCACACTCTTTCTCGTCTTTCCATTCTTCCAACAAAATTATATCACAGTTTTGGTTAGTTTCTCAATGTTGGCACAACATTCTAAAGAAGGTAATTCTATTAAAGGGGGCTGCCCTGTGTGCTGTAGGATGGTCAGCAGCATCTGCAGCCTCTATCCTTTAGATCTTTTAAAAAATATATTTTTTTATATATATATATTTTAGTTGTAGTTGAACACAACATCTTTATTTATTTTTATGTGGTGCTGAGGATTAAACCCAGGGCCTAGCACATGCTAGGTGAGCGCTCTACTGCTGGGCCAAAACCCCAGCCCCTATCCTTTTAGATCTCAATAGAACTACCTGCCATGTTATGACAATCAAAAATATCTCCAAATACTACCAAGTGTTTCCTAAGAGGAACAAAATCACTCCCAGTTTATGATTACCGAGCTAGATGTGTTAAATAAAAATTACAGTATGATACTGGTTTGGACTAAGCTCTTACAGTAAACCCCAAATGGACAAGTTAAATTTCAAAAAGGAGTCAAGACAACTCAATTATTACCGGACCTTCCAAAAAATTAGGAGATAATAACCGATTTCCCAAGGGCCAAAGTCAATGACAATGAAACCAGATGAAAATGAAGTCCCCTTTGCTTTAATTCTTACAAAACAAAAAACCTGACATTAAGCTATCAATTATTTTTCTATTGTTCTATGTCCCTCTCCCTGCCTTATAAGGAAAGTATCGTCCATAGGGCAAGTCCACTCTATTCTTTCTGTCTTCAGCCCTCTTCTGACTATAAAACCAATCTCTTCTGCTCAGCTTACTGGAATACTAACGATGTTTTATAGAAGTAAGTGTTGCCCAATTCTAGACAAGACCTTTAAAATTTGTTGCCACCTTATCTTTTGACAGAGGAGCATTCTGTTTATATTATGACTGTAAATGCAATTAACAACTAAATCATGTGGTAAACTGTGAAACTGTGATTACTTTATTTCTTGCACAATCTCCTACTTGCCCCATGATTAAAAATTGTCATTGTTGCCTTTGCTTTTATCTTCTCTATAAAGTACCTGTCACTAATTCAACATTCTACTAGTTTTCCCAACTTTCCCCTCAAGATGTCAACTCAGATCCATGTTTAACCTTAAAGACTGCCCTTAAATGTTGTGATGTGTTCCAATTAATGACATTTATCTTCTACTTCTGGTACATATCTGTCATACTGTCCTTTCATTACCCAGTGCAACTGCTGCACATCCTGGCTTGCCTCTCATCACTAACTATGCTTATCGTTGAGAACAGGACACCTAGAGGTGAGAAGCTCCTTCCTTGATTATCAGCAGAAATAGTCCAGGTCCACTATGGCCACCTAAATGACTGCTTATAGGTTCCTTTTTTGGCTTTAGCACACAGATCAAAAAAAGGTCTCTTTGGGGGATCTCTCTCTTGAGAAGGGCCAATAGATCTGATAGTTTACACTTTCGCTAGCATCCACCAGGTTCCCTATTTCTTCATCCTGTAGTAGATATCCTTGTCTTCCTCCTCTTCAATTAACCTTGTTTTCATACTCCCATACATTCTGAAAGAAGAATGCAGGGAAGATAAGTATTGAGACACTGCACTACTGAAAATATCTTTATCCTCACACTGATCCTTTCCCCCACTCAGTCTAGATGCTTCTAAAGATCTTCCTTCTGTCCTGGTGTTCTAAAATTTTCCAGTGTCTCTCTCTCCCCCCACCCTTTTTTTAATCCACTCCATTGTACAGCCACTCAATGGACTATTCATTTGCAAATTCATACCTGAAAGACCTCGTGGACCAATTCTCTAATGATTGTTTCTTCTCATACTCCCTGTCTCTGATCTTTGCCCCTCTACTTTCAGGGAAACTTCTTTATCTTGCAAGTCATTTACTGTGGATTCCCCCCACACACACACACATTTTTAGTTTCCAAAAGTTTATTTTAATTTTTAAGGTATAATTTTATAGATTATGGGGTTTTTATTTCATGGTTATAGAAAACTACCACTCTCAGAGGATCGATGTAGTTTTAAGTTGTCTTCGATTTGCATAATCTGATTCTTCCCAATAACTTTTCTGTTAGTTTTAAGCCACTCTTTTCTGAAGAAGTGTATTTCAGATACTCATATCTGGGACACACAACAGAGCTATTTAGGAAGATTGTCAAATTATGAGGCACAACTGAAGAAATACAGGCTAAGCTGTTTAACTGGAAATCCCACTAATGTCACTATCTTTACGTCTCCTCTGAAGTTACATTGCCTGGAGAAGATTCTTCCCTATTTTGGAGATGAACAGGAAAAGAGAGCCATGAATTTTCAGCATTGAGGATATATAAATTCATTTCTCTAATTTTTCAGTATTCTCTTATACTGGAATAGACTTGACACTACTATAGCAGTTTCTCATACAGATATTTCAAATCTTCTAAGTCACTGTGATACTATGAGATATATATTTGGTCTTAGCCCCCTTTGCTGGCATGTAACTCCTAAATTTCTTAGAAAACAACAGTGTTAAAAGTCCTCTTATGCTAATGGGTTTAATCATGGCTGTGAGTTCCTGGATAGCTTCAGGATGGTGATTGGCATGGAAGAACCAAGCCTGTGATTGGAAGGCTCAAACTTTCAGTCCCAACCCCAAGTGAGGGAGGGGAGGCCTGAAGGTACTGTCACTCACCAAAGGTCAGTTATATAATCAATCATGCCTAAGTAATGAAACTGCCACAAAAATCTAGGAGTATTGGGGGCGGGGGGGGGGGGGGGGGGGGGGGGGG